AAATGGGACAATATGTGTTGTGTATACATCTTGACAATCGCGCCCACGAAAAAACGTATATCTCTCCCAAGGAGAAAGGGAATCGACAGTAGAGCATGCAACACACCCAGTAGCGCTCGCCGCCGAGCTCTGCCCGAACCACATCCCCACGTCCTTACCCGCGGGCGCCATGCGGTGCACGCCAAACGACGCGCCCGGCGCGTCGAGGAACCTGGATAGGAGCCGCGCATGGGCGGCGTGGGCGGCGGGCGTGGGCGGTGGAAAGGGGGGAGGATGTCTGTGGAGGAGATGGAGGTCAGCGTCGGTGTCGGTGCGAGGCAAGAGGGTAAGAGGGAATGGGGAAAGAGAGAAGCGAAAGATAAAGGGAACGAGATAAAAAGAGAAAATGATGACGAAGAGGACAAGGGAGGTGGGAGCGATGCGCTCACCATGCCACCATCGTCGAGGAATAAGGCGGTCGCCTCGAATCACCGCCAAAGAAAAGTCGCGCTTAACCCCCTCCATATCGCATTAAAAAACACCCCCGGCGCCCACGGCCCGAAGGAGCGCACATGAAGACGCGCGAGGCAGCCACCATGTATCTCCCGGCAGCAATAACGCTGCGCATGAAGGGTAGGCGAGAAAAAAGACAATGGGCCGCCCGCCCCCGCACACGCCAAACCTCCCCGACGCCGACATCGACGTCACGGTCGGAACGACCACGTCAAAAGGGCGCGCCCCATCCACACTCCGCCTCCGCCTCAAACTGGGGGAGAAAAAGTCGAAGCGCGTGCGGGCGCCTCCCACACGCTAAACACCTCCCGAGGTCAATATCGACTTCACCGTCGGAACGACGGTAAGGGGACGTTCACGCGACATGCGAGAGTCACTCCTAATGAGGGATAAGTCATCCACGCAGCGACGGGAGAGTAAAGAATGAAGGCGTGAAGGAAGATATTACATAATAAATATGAATTTTTGGGGTGAAGTGAAGTCGAGAAGAGTGAAGAGTGAAGGAAGGAGGACGAGGGAAGGCAAGGGAGGAGATGCAGGAGGAGGACGGTGGGAGAGGTAGAAAGTTCCGAGAGAAGGAGAAAAAGAAAGAAAACTGAGTCGGTGCCAAAAGAAAAAGAAACAAGCAGGAGCGCGACGCAGAGCGACGGGGCGTAAAAGCTCCCCACCCAGAGCTCCGCGCAAGAGAGTCAAAGACGTGCCCGTGCTGGCGCAACCGTGCAAGTTGCAAACTCAGCCGCCTTCGACATCGAGCCGTTGGTAGTGGTCCCCAAAGAAAAAGAAGAAAGAATGCGAAAGCAAAAAAGCGAAAGCCCGAAAAAAAACACAATCAAGCAAACAACTTACCCCCAACCCTTCCCAAAGCGCTTGAAAAGCTCTGCCTCGTGCGCAACATGCAGCCCCACCCCGCGTCGCTCGTCCAACCCTTCGTCCCGCCGAGGGGCAGCGAGGGTAGGGGCCACCACTTCTTTTTTGTGCCGTCGCTTGAGGAGGCGGAGGTGGAGGAGGGGTAGGTGTAGGGGGCGGATGGGAGTGGGAAGAGGTAGAGTGAGAGTGCGAGGCGGTGCTGGAGTCCCCTGCGTTGGAGATGGAGCTGGGGAGAAGATGAATTTTAGTGTGCATTAATGACGGGTTACGAAGAGAATGACGAGAGGGAATGATAGAGAAGGACGGGGAGGTATGAGAGTGAAGCAAGGTCGGAATGCCGAAGAAAGAATAGAAAGAATAAGGAACGCACTTATAAGATGAATCCGACTGCGACGGGCTATGACTTATGCCGAGCGGCGGCATGTGCCCGTTACTCCAGGGGCGGGGTCGGGGGCGGGGGACGGCGGGGTGGTGCTACTGCTAGGGGTAGCCTGGGCGCTGGTGGTGCGCTGGAGGCTGATGCGCGCTTGGGCTGCGCCGACGAGGCGGGCATCAGCGATGCCACTCACGAATCTACGGAGATACGGAAAGAGAAACAGCATGCAGAGGAAATTAGAGTACATAAAGAGTACAAATGAAGAGAGAAAACGTACGGGAGTGCAAGCCAAACGCGGGAGAGATCAAGCTGATGAGACGGGAGTGTGTGCCAGTGTTTGTCAACAGCTTCCATCGGCTGTCGGTCTGCGCCCTGCTTCAATCCACAACGACAACTTGGGCGTCTACAGCTCACCTCCCATATCTATGCTGGCGCACGAAATGAGGACCCTGGACGTACCCAACGTGGCTTCATTCCCTAAAACTCTAGTACGCCGATGGCCCTCTCTCCCCTCGAAGCGCTGAATTCGGACTCCCTGCTCTCGAAACGGCTCACGAATTCCAGTATGCTGGCGCTTTCAATCTGAATACTCACGGACACGGCTTATGTGATCTACAGCCCTTTCTTCGGTCTGTGGCGCTCGCACTCCTCGGCCTCGTGCATTCAGCACGCTAGGCTGTCGAGGCGACGCGGCGTCACAGGAACTTGAAGATCTGTGTTTGAAATGGTATCATGTCGGCTTCTTGGTTATTCGTTGTTCTGGGTATCTGTATCATCTCCACCCGAAATACGCGTCAGAGCTTGGAGGGATTATACTTGACACTCGGCGCTTATAAGGATGAATCGTTAGATTGGCGCCCACGATTTCTAAAAAGAGAAACGATCGAACCTGCTGGCTGGACCTGCATGAGACTGTGGCGTGGAATGCATCCTCACTGATCACCTCATGCCCCGCTTTACTAGTGCTATTAACTACACGTTTACTCCTGCATGCATTACCATGAAGACGCATCGACTGCCTTCTTAACGTTTCCTGTGCTTTAAGGCTTTCTCCCGACCTTCTCCCATTCTCGACTCTCGACGACTTTCGACGTCCATGTTTTCTTGCTTTCGATCCCTCGGGATCGCCCTGAGGCGCGGCTTTCGATGGCTTTCGACATCCATGTCCTCTTTCTTTGCGTCACTTCGATCGAACGCTGCAGCTGCAGGTATGTTGTGATATCTTCCCATTCTCCAGAATGTGTCCTCACGATAGTTTTAGCTCATGCTCTGCGTCAATTCAGGGCAGAGCATCCCAAAGCAGCTAAAGCAGTCGGCGTCGGCCTTCTGGTAGTGGGCGGCAATGTAGTCATGCCGGCAATCCTCGTCGGTATCTTGAAATTACTCGGTTTCGGCGCAGCGGGCGTCACCAAGGGTGAGTTCGAACTTCTGCGGATCCGCTGGGCCCTACTCAATTCTTGAATATCTAATTATGCGTTTTAGCCTCAGCCGCTGCTAAGATTCAATCCCTCGTGTATGGCGGCGCGGTTCCGAGGGGATCACCGTTTGCCCTGGCGCAAGCCGCCACAATGGGCAAGAGCAAGATCGTCGTAGCGTCTGTTGCGGTACAAGGGATCAGTGCGTTTGCGATGGGGCTTGGCGCGTGGCTGTTCGGGAAATAAATTCAAGTCGCCCTATGGTACTTCAATCTCGCACATATGACCCTCCATGGCCGACCTCGGTCGGACCTCGGTCTAATCTCGCACATATGACCCTTCATGGCCGATCTCGATCGGACCTTAGTCTAGTAATCTCGCACATACGACCCTCCGTGGCTGACCTCGACATAGTGAACACACATAATATAATCTTGGGTTCGAAATACAATCACGTACTAGGAAGCGAAACGGTTTGATCGCGCGGCAAGTTGTGAGCTCAATACTGTGGAAAACCTTTGATTCGTTGTGCTGTACTTGTGCAGTGCTCTCCGGGCTAATGTTGCCGCGACTTCCGACTTGGCCCTCCGAAGTCGACTTGGGAAGTCGGATTGGGTCGAGTCAAGCCGAGTCGTTTGATGACTCCGCTGCGACTTCGAAGTCAATGAAAGTTGACTCAATAGACCGGTCGATCTGAGTTTGCATAGCAAGCGAGCGATCACGTTTCTGGCACGTGCACGGCTGTACACACATCCAGAGCGCGAACGAAGAGAGTCAAATAAAATATGATAAGCAGCCTAAATCTTGTCAGAATTGATTTAGCGTGCCTGAGTGGCTCCATGATATTTCTACGACAATAATCATGTTGTAAGAACCAAATTAACCAGTTCAGCATTATTATGCCGAACCTGACCGGCCCGGCCGCCAGAAGATAGGGGCCATCATCATCGGCTAATGTTTCTGTTTCTCCGCACAGTCTCGCCGAACCGCCGTCTTCTCGCGAGGGGTGGGGTTCCTCTTTGAAATTCACACATTCCTACTTGGGTATATCTTTCTGTTCTGGTATAAGTTGTGTACATCTCAGCACATTGCGTCCGTCCCGTGACGAGTCACCGTTTAAATAATTAGGTTACCGAGGAAGGCCCGCTGGCGGATGGTCCGCGCCTCCTTCAAGTACAAAACGGAAATTGTATTCGAATGCGGGAGTCGCTCATTCGACTCGAGCCCGGGCTTTGGTGTCTCTTTCAGGAATAATTTTATTCCGCGCCATAGGCGCAGTGAATTTGTATTCAGCGTCGAGTTATCACAGGAATCAGAAAGATGACAGCCATAGAACAGCAGACATCACTCGATCGAACTGATTCTTCCATAACTGCTCATCTTATGTGTTACCCGCATACTTAAGTCGCATATCCTCTATGCCAAATTAAATTTCCCCTGGTCAGCATATTTCATACGCCTCATGACCATATTTCGTTTTAATCATAGCCAGGGTCTAACCTAGCGTAGAAGGGCCCAGTAGCGGGGGGTCCTCACCTGCTTGAGGTGAACAGAGTGTGCAGTTGTTCCATACAGGAGTCGCTGCGTTCGAGTCGAGCCTGGGCCATTAGATTTTTGCCGACTTATTCTAATTGGCGTTTGTAAATCCTGCGCCCAGCCACGAACTCGATCTTTCTTCATCCCTAGTGCGTAGAATGGATTTCTGTAACTCAACATAATACGGACAACCCATTCAGCATCCCGAATTTGGAGAGGTCATCCCGGATAAGCTACTGGCCCTGCTCACCGATTGTGTCTCTGTTCCTAGGCACCATATTATCAGTTCATCGAGCTTGTAACTACAGGAGAAAGGCACGGTAGCGGATGGTTTCCGCACCTGCGTTCAATAAGTCTGGATTGGATTTCCCGCAGGGAACCGCTCGTTCGAATCGAGCCCGGGCCATATATTATAGGCAATACAGGTGTTTTTTTTTTGTTCGCATTCGCGCGGGATTTTAACTGGATGTTCACCGTGATCTTCTGCGTCAGTGCACTGCTCGAATGGGCGATTGAAACCTCCATTTATCACGCTTCTCATGAATCACACCCGAACGAAAAAGAAGAGACAAAACAGTGCTTTATGCCTCCGGGGGGAGTCGAACCCCAGCTTCCCAGTGTAAGTCTAGGTCTCCAGTATTAGTGCGGGACGATCGCCTTGATCCTCAAAGGCTTGCTATGCAGCGGCTGAACGGGCTCCAATTTAGTGCCAGTGAGAGAGGAGTCTGCCGCTGAATGGTGGCATGTCTGCATTGGTTCAGTTTCATTATATTATTCTGGATTCTCGAGGAACTGGCCATGCCATTGGCAGCATTTGTACTCTTTATTCTAGCACACCCTCTGCCGTCCAAAAAAAATGCCTATCTAACTATGCCTACGGGGGGACTCGAACCCCATCTTCCCGGTATCGTTCTCAGCACGTTGCTCATGAGAACGGAATGATCACCCTGATCCTCGAAGGCTTTCTACACACTATGTGAAGCTGGTTTCATTCTGCACTAATTTACCAACCAAAAATCACTTGACAACGTAATTCGTGCACCTAATTACATTCCCGATTAACTCAGTCTCCATATCGTCGATGTATATATAGTTTCATTGGAGGTAATCGGAACCGACACACTTCCTCTGGTGTTGAAAAAAAACCGATTCTACATGACACCGAATGCCTCCGTGGGGAGTCGAACCCCTCGTCCCGCCGTCATGATTACTTTTTTGGACATTTTCATTGTCATTGGGTGATCACCGCTGATCTGAAGGCCTGTTCTGTGCAGTGTTTGAACGTGGCTTCATCCTGCTCTTGTTGAGTTCCAGTAAGCAAAACCTGTTGATTACTAGGTTCAATCCCGTTATCTTCCCAGCTGAGTCTAGACCGATCCTTTCTAGTGTTATTTATCCTTCTTCATGGGACAGAGAGACTGGTGTGAACCGCGAGCTCAGCAGCAAAACAGGCCTGCTAGCTGATGCCTCCGGGGGGAGTCGAACCCCCATTACCCCGCTGCCAGACATATGGACCATTATAACGGGGTGATCGCCTTGATCCTCGAAGGCTTTCTATATGCAACCTGGAACCTGGGTTTGTTGGACCCTGATTTACCCAAAAGCAAAAAAAAAAAAAATGGCACTAGATTGTTCATTTCGAGGTTTCACCGGAAAGAGGTCGTGGAAATAAAGCAAAAATTACCTAGTTCCCTTGCCATGGCCTTCGGGGGGAGTCGAACTTCCAGGTTCCCGCTGTCAAGGTTTTGTTCATTGGAATGGGTGGATCGCCCTGATCATCGAAGGCTGCGTATGGATTTTCCGAATGTGGTCTTATTCTGCCCTACTTTTTCACCTGTGTTATCGGTTTTGTGTTATCGGTTTTCAACTGCGACCGTTCTGCGGGCGAAAAGATGCATTCCGTAGTGACATACCGAGGAGTGATCTGCAGTGACACGCTTACTGAGTCCGCATCTTAAGATGGCATCCCAGATGAGGATTTGCACACAGACTCGGAAGCACTGTGTATTGGAGCATGCGACAGAATGCCCATGCGATGCATGGATACCAGCAGGATAGCAAGAGGGTACTACTATGATAACGAGCTAATAGCGTCAGCAGAACGAGATGATCCAAGAGGAGAATGAGGGAATACCAGGCAGAGAATGAGGATACCGTCCGGAGAGCGGCATAATACCGCACAGGACCACGAGAGGATACGCAAGCGACCGGCAAAATGCTGCGCAAAAACGAACGCATAATGTGTAGGAGAACCTCTTAATACCAGATCGGAGGAGCAGAAGATAGTTCGCAAGGAAGCGAGGCAATACCTGGCACCAGACCGAGAGGATATCGGGCAAGAGAAAGAGAGGGTATCGGGCAGAACACAAATAACAGGAGAGAAACAGACGAGAGCGTCTAAGAGAGTCATGGAGAGCCAGGAAACAACGGGCACAGTCCCGAGAACGAGAGACAACCGGGACGAACCGAGAGGTAGTAAACGTAGGATGTGGAGAACTGACACGAGCAGAGAATTGGGCCTGCACGGGAGATCTGGACTGGAAGGATTCAGGCGGCAGCACCGATTTGAGGCAGGACGCGATGGTGGAGATGGAGCGGAGGAGGTGTGGCGGTACAGGAATGCGCGGGACTAAATCATAGCGCGCAGAGAACAGCCGCGCAAAAACCAAAGATTCACCTGCTCCCCATCCCATACTCCATCTGCAGCTCCGGCGCATCCCTATGCACGAATCCTACCGTTGTATCCTGTAACGGAAGTGCGCGCGAGCGGATGAATAGCGGCAACAGGTGCGGGGGTCACAGTGCCGGCGACTGGAGTGCACGAGTGGCGTGGGATCCGAGTCAGCATGGGCGGGGAAAGAGCGCGCACTGGACAGGGAGCCGGTGTTTGACTCGACGTCATCCACAGGCGAAAAGGTGCGCCACAGCTTCTTCAAATTCCTAGGGCATCAGTCCTTGGACCGCAGACGAAGGCAGGGGCTGTGAGGCATTGGGTGAATCATCAGGGCAGAATCGAGAGTCGTGTAAGTAGTGTTGCCGATGTCCGGTCAGGTCCGGTTTTTTGCCAAAAAATCCGAACCCCGAACCGAACCCGGGGTCCGGTCGTGTTCAGGTTCGGTCTGGGGTTCGAACCTTTTGAACCCGAAGGAATTCCCACGACTCTACAGTGTATGATGTGAGCTTTAAAGCCTTTTAATACTCTTTATTAACCATCTTCTCTCCAAAAAAGGCCATCTTTGTATGTCTGGGTGGGTGGGGACCTTGGAACATCCGTTTCAAAAATGTCTCAGCCCTTGGATCACTTGTTGATCGCGCATCAATTCAACCATCTCCATTTCTCTTGAGGCCGTGAGAGTAGAAACACTTTATCTTTGGTGCAGGACCCATGGTATGTTGAATTAGAAGTCAATATAACATCAATTCATCGAATTCTGAAATGAAAACAGGGTACCCAAAAGAATCGGTTCGAACATGTTCGAACCTTTCACTGATCGTCCGAACCCCGAACCGGACATTGGGTTCGGTTCAGGTTCGGTTCAGGTTCGGAATCGGTTCCGAACCGAACAGCGGGAACACTACGTGTAAGGAGATCAAATTTGGCAGCGCGGTCCTGGATTTGCTAATCTGCGTAGTCACTGGGAATTTCTGAAGACCAGTTTGATGTAGCGACGGGGCAGGAAATAAATTCAGCAAGAAATCCGGCGGAGAGAACCGTCGGGAGTGGCATGAAAGTCGAGAGCAGAGAAGTGCAGACACGTGTTTACCCGGCCCGGCACCCGGTCGCGGATTGTCCCATACGTACTGCGAAGACCTGAATGCAGACGCGGGAGCCGCTCGTTCGATTCGAGCCCCGGCTGCAGCTAACTACCGTGATTTCTTTTCTATTCCGTGCAGCGTGCCGGATGATTGTGTGCCGTCGATCTCCGCAGAGCCCAGAAGACGGCCAACGTCAATGGTAGAGCACACGCGATCGAACTGGGTCCGGACAATAGAGTTTAAGATGGCAGAGTTCGTTCTATTATTGTGTGGTGAGTATTCACTATTTCCTCGATATATCACGCCCATCCAGACGCCCGCGAAGGAATATCCGCTAAACATATACATTTTCTATCCTTGGCAGCCTATCCTCTATACCGATTAAATTTCCTGCGGTGAGCGAATCTCATGGGCATATGCATCTTATATCCTTGGCCGCCCATCGTCGCCTGATTAAATTTCTCCCGGTCAGCATATTTGATGTGCATGATACCAAATTTAGTTTGCATCCTAACCAAAGTCCCACCTACCACGAAAGGCCCAGTAGCGGAAGGTCCGTACCTGCAAGCTATCCATTAGCTTGGTGTTAGCGTATGCAGGCGTCGCTCGTTCGATTCAAGCCTGGACCATTGCATAGGCTCTTTGTGGCGACTTTTTATTCCAACCGACGTCTGTCAATCCTATGCCCAGCACGCACTCAATCATTCTTCCTCAATGGCGCGTAGAATGCATGACTTTTATTGAAATCAATACGCACAACCAATGCAGCGTTCCGAATCGTGGAGAGGCCGGCCCGTTCATCCTGCTCGCTGCCTTTGGTTGTTCTCAGGATTTCTGTTCCTTCGCATCAATTCAATCCTATCTAGTTAACACAGCTCTCATTTGTAGGAAGAAGGCCCGGTAGCGGATGGTTTGCGCACCTGCGTTCAATACTAAAACGAAGTCTCGCAAGACACGCTTGTTCGAATCGAGCCTGGGCCATTGACCTCTAAACACTTTTTTTTATTTGCATTCCTAGTGAGGGTGTAGAAGTTCTATCATTTTCTCATGCGATCATTTCCTCTCCTTTTCAACCTACGCACCGATGTGTCGTCACACGTCCACTATGAAGTCTGATTTCATCGACACCCAGCTGACTTACCCATCAAAAATCCACTGCTCAGTGTTTCCAAGGACTGGGCATTGTACTTTAGATATCCTTATTTCCTTTCCCACTCACAATTCCGCTCTCGCCACGCCTTTGGGAGGAGCCGAACCCCCATCTTCCCGCTGCATATATCGAAACCGCATTACCACGGGTGATCACGAGCGATCCTCGAAGGCCTCGTCTGTCCAAGGCTTGAAGCTGGTTTCATTTTGCGATGATTTAGAAACGTCGACTGATGGATAGACGTGCTCCCATTATATCTTACAGCTGTTCTCGAAATTAATGAGACCGATCACTTTTTTTTTTTCACATTCCCAAAAAGGAAGGTCAACTCATCTTGGGTAAATGCACTATTCTGTTAGATGTATCATACAGCAAGCAGTGCTTGGAAGTCTTTACAGATGAGATACGAGTCGGAGTGACGCCAGTTAGACAGCGGCTTGTCAGCGGCCGAACTAGGCCGATTGGCGATATGTGCACGTGACTTCATCGGCACATCCGTTTGCTTCTTCCTGGGCCCCGCAAGCAATATTTCACCTCAAAAAACTCAAAAACAAGATGGAAAAGCTAATCACAGCATTCCTGAGTATGATTGTGAGGGTACAGTAGTGCTTTTACTGGCACCTTTTTTGGGAACTCAAAAAAAAAATTGATCGATCTCATTAATTTCGAGAATAGCTGTAATGCTGCTCGGTCTTCACCCAACTTCTTCCTTTTTCATTCGCTGGGCAACGGGTGTGGTAAGAGAAAAAGATGTATAATACGCAACCACGCATGCCTTCGGGCGGAGTCGAACCCCCCTGTTCCCGCTGTACCCTCGGTCATTATAATGCCTATCGCACCGGGACGACCACCACTGGTCCTCGAAGGCTTTATGTGTATCCCTCCACGGTTGACGATACGCTACAAGTATAGGACTGATATGTTCCACATGTTTAACTATTGCTCGATAACGATTTGGTTTTAACCGCGACAGTTATTTCCCCGAGGGAGTAATGGATTCCGCACCGACAAGCGTTTTGTGCAGGAATGGCGGGGGGTCCATCCTGAGGTGGAGGAACGCCAGCCATAAATTTCAACACGTACAGAACGGGAGACAGAGTATTTCGAATCACCCAATTTGAACAGTGCATCAAGCGAGGCGGGGATGCAGGGGAGGAGAACGAGATGATACGGCAGAGGGGCATGCGAGGAATACCGCAGGAGAACGAGGAAATACGGGCAAGAGAACGGAAGAATAGCCGAGAAGGGAACGACCGCAGGACAACGAGAGGATATCAAGATAATACACTGCAGGAAAACAGGGCAATACCTCCCAACAACAGGCTTGATGTGCGAAGTAGTCTGGAGGAGAAGGAGAAGGAGCCATGAGAGCGGGACAATTCTATGGAGGAACACGAAATAATAGCCAGAGCACCAATGATTCCACGTGAACGTATGCGTGGCCCGATAGTACCGAGGAGGGGATTGTTGAACCACGGAATAATCCGGATAGACGGGAGTGGGTGTGGCTGGACAGCCAACGCGAAAACTTGGGCTGTAGACGGGAGCACACTGGCATCAAGCGTGGGCCGTCCAAGTCTGAATCGGTGATGGATATGGCGTCGAAGGGGGCCTTAACACAGACCGTGAACAAGAACGTGATGGCGCCGCACGGAGGATAAGTATTGTGGGACACGCAGACGAGCAGTACTTATAGTAGCGGAATTATTGGAAGGTGTGCACGTACGAAATAGCGACACCAAGGAACCGGCAGGTGGATGAAGAAGGGTCGATCTCGCGATAGAACACCCGAAAGAAAAAATGCATGCGCAGGAATAACAGAAGGAGCAGCGGCCGCATCGAGCTACGGAGTTAAACTCCATCGTATATCGGCAGGTGTGGCGAATTGGCACTGGGTGAATAAAATTAGAAGGAGCGTAGCACGGTGGAGGATCATGGGCCGGGCGGAGGAGCGAGAAGAAAAGACTCACCTCAGCCTGCTAGACCACAAGTGACAAGTCTATATCTATCACGAGAACCCATGGTGCAGCGGCGTTAAAGCGTGCATGCAGATCTGACTGGAAGCGCGCACACAACGGCGGAGCGCAAAAGCCGATGAATGGCGGCAACCGGTCAGGGGGTGCACGAGTAACGTGGAATCTGAGCCAGCGGGAGCGGGGACAGAGGAAAGAGCGCCCACCGGAAATGAAGTAACGGATGCGAGGCGTTTGACTCGACGTCGTCCAAAGGCGGAAAACCCAAGTGCGAGGCAGCGTCTTCAACGAACTCAAGACGAAGGAGGGTGAGCGTGCGGGCTTGCGAGGATCTAGGTGGAAATCATTGGGTTTCCAAAATCGATTGTCGTGTAAGCGCAAAAGCCGTGCGCTCTTCGCATCAGATTTAAGCGTTAAACCATCGGGCGGGATTGCCTAGCAAAAATCAAGGATTCCTGAGCACTGGGCAGAGACCATGCTAGCAGGCAGAAAAATGAGCAAGAAGTCGGGCGGAGAAAGTGTCGCGAGCAAAGTGGCAGGGAGATGTAGGCACGTGCTTAGCCGGCCCGGCACCGGTAGTCGGAGATAGGAGCCAACCTTTTACTTTATGATTCCTTTGCCAGCTTCTATGCTCGTTGGTCTGTCTGTAATATTACAGCTCTTTGCGGAACATAAGGTGCGGATCATTTTTTTTCTAAAAATGGGTGTTTTCACTATTGCCCCTATAGCTCCTTCATTCCTTTGTGTATTGGCTTGAAACCTTGACCAAACGATTTGTGCCGATTTTTTACAGTGCTTAGGGTACCTAATATATTTATTTTCTCGCACTAAGGGTTCCAATTGGGAGATCATGTGATTTCGATATAATGCCCCTCTGGAGATGGGACAGCGGGTCAGGGCGTTCCGTAATCTTGTGAGGACATTATTCCATATGTTTTACATTGCACTGGGGTATTTAATTGGCAAATATGGAACAGGGAAGTCTTGAACAAGTCCTAATATTTAGCCATCAAAACCAAAATACATCCTGTGTCATCCTAGTGTGCAGAATTCCCAGTAAAACCGTACAGTGCAATGTAATACATGTAAAAGAGTATTCTGACGAAATTTTGGAACACCTTGAATTGCTGTCCCATCTCCAGAGGGGCATTACATCAAAAGCATATGATCTCCCAATTGGAACCACCAGTGGGAGAAAATATATGTATGGGGTACCCTAAGCACTGTAAATATGCAATACAAATCGTTTGGTCCAGGTTTAAAGTTGATAACTGAAGAAATGAATGAGATATAGGGGCAATAGTGAAAACAGCCATTTTTAGAAAAAAAAATGATCCGCGCCTTATGTTCCGCAAAGAGCTGTAAAGTCAATTCTTGAAGAGTACACACAAGCACCTCTCTTTTTGTCTCCTCGGCGGTTATAAGTGATACAAGCGGCTGAGGGAGTCCCTCATCCTCTTTCCGGTTGGAGAGCAAGCGGAGAGTGTCTTTGACAGAGAAGTGATGCAGCTGATTGTGTGGGAGCACTCGGGACAGCGGCATGTGTTCCGAACAGTACCGAATTGATGAAATGAATGGCAACCAGTTTGATAAAGTCTAAAGAGGGGTCGGCAGCAAGAAGTCAATCAGCGGAGATGGCGGAGATTAAACAACTTCGGACAGACAGAAAGTCGTGATTTTATAAAGAGGGAGTTTCACCTGTACCTGTAGCTTACATTGTATTGTTCACAGGTACATAATATATGAGTCTTACACTACTACATGTGACCGAGGCTCATTGTATAGGTTGAAAGATGTATGATCTTGGCAACTCAAACAATCCGAGGTATTTCTGTTCATAGCAAGCATGGGATTTCTTGAAGTCATGCAGTTGATGTACCAAAGATGTGGTGCGGAAGCGAGTTTGAAAAGGCTTCGGACGAACAGAATGCTTAATTTTATAAAGAGGGTGAAGTGTCGTCCCACCGCGAGGGAGACCACGTTTAAGGTTGGTTCAAGCTGTATAAATAATTGGTTTGACATCATGACCGAGCTCTCAGTGTAGGGAGAAAGGCAGTAGCGGACGGTCTGCACCCTTGTTGTATATGGGAGCAGCTCGTTTGACTCGAGCCTGGGCTGTGTGGTCGTTGTCATATATTTTTATTCTGGTGGACTAGGTAGTCAAGTTCCCACTTTGAACTCTGAGTTCATCCACAACAAGCTGACTTGCCTGACAAATCCACTTGAAGAAATTTGTTATCCAGTGCTCAACTTCAACCTGAGCACCCCACTCCCAACCTCATTGTGCTAATGCTATCCTCTAACACACAGAGCAGTCACTGTGGCATATGATTCCATATGCCAGGGCAGTTTATGCACAGCATATGGCTGGCTGCTGATGAGACAGTTTTATGCAATATGGGTTAATACAAGGGTGCATTCAAACCCTGCCATGGGCAACCTTTTTGAAAGAAAAACTTATAAAATCAATTCCTCACCGGAACGACATCACTGATGTTTTGAAAAATGTGAACCTTTTGATTTAATCGTCACCTTGGATGGGCCTGTATCTTAGTATTGACTGTTTTTTTTTACTGAGATGCAGGATGCAGTACTGTCCCAGAGTTATCTGAAAATTATATGGAAAAGAAGTGGTATGCAATGGTACTTGGGGCAAGACTTCTTGTAAGCATCAGTTGCATGGAGATGTAGCTGACCTAGACACACTTGTTGTGGATTGTGGTGACATAGTAGTACTGCTACCTCAGAGGAAATACAGTGTATAGCACAAACAAGCTACATGCAGCTCTCTAGACCATGATTGAGTCTCACTGTGCCTAATCGGCTGGGTGGCATATACTGATGCCCAATAGGTTTCA